TTATTCGTCACTTCGAGTTTCAAGGTAATGAGTGAGATCTCATTACCTAGAGCAGCAACGCACAACGTTTGTGTGTTGGGAGCAACCTTCATCAAGAGGCCTACAAATTCTCTTGACGTTGCTAGACCAGTAGGGTGCTCCGCACCTACTGATCCTGTCCGTTTTTTGACGGTCCATCCCGTTGTTGCGTCTTTGCACCAACTGCGGACCCTCGTCCCTGCCCCTTTCTCATGGGTGGACGGTCACTACGCCCAGTGTCGCGAGACACTGGACGAGGGGCACTACACTCGTAAGCGTAGTGTCCTGTCTTTTGACATCTGTTGCATCTCTGCAACTTCTTGTAGCCTGTAGGGCGAGCCTTCTAGCTCTCTACATAACAGAGTTCCATCGGCTCTGGACCTCCGTTGTCATATCGTCTCGGTCGACGATATGATGTCGAGCTGGCGCGAGCCTGTCTCAGACTGAAGTCTTCCTGCTCCGCAATGGAAATGGCTTGTTCTAGTGAATCTAGTTCAAGTCGGAACCGGTGAGTCTTGACGGGACCATCCGCAAGACCCTGCATGAACACCGAAACCAAAGTGTGTTCATCCACCGGATTGGAACTTATACAACTCGTGAGATGTCGTATCTGTTGCGCGTAAGCGTGCACATCACGCTTACCCTGCTTGAGCTTCAAGAGTTCGGTTCGAGCTCTGAACTCAGCTCTAGGCGGTTCAAACGTTTGTCTGAGCCGCGACTTGAAGACTTCCAACGACCCAAACGCATATGGATCGTGCAACTTGAGCCCCAGTGCCCAAGTCTTGGCACGTCCTGCCAGATTTGACTGGGCAAATGCAACTTGCATTTCCCCATCATCGATGCGAAGCGTCCTTATGGCGTCGTCTAGTTCGACGAACCATCTCAGGAGGGAGTCCTCTTCGACTCTCCTATACTTGGAGATGTCAATCTTCAAAGTCTCGAGTCGACGCGAGTGCATCGACCCACCAGCAGCAGCCTGCTGCTGTCTCAACAGTTCAAACTGTTGAACACCCTGTTCTCTCAACAACTCTGCTTGTTGAGAACCTTGTTGGTGAAGCAAGGCTACTTTCTCGCGTTCGGCGTCAAGTTCATTTTGAATGAACTTGACGATAGTAGCATGTTGGGCATCTCTATTGAGAGCCTCTAGCATGACGCTAACAGCATGGATGCCCATGGTCGAACCCATTCGTTCAACCGCATCCCATTCGACATCGCTCAAATGGGAGTAGCCGTCACGCGTAGCGTGAAAGCTTTGGTCATCTTCATCATCCAACATATTCATGTTAGATGTGAACGTGGTCCTTGGACGGACTACGAAGTGCTACCAGGTGTAACGGGGCACCCTGAAGCTTGTACTGTCACCAGTACAAGCTACTTATTCTGATGACAGAATAAGGCGGTGCCTCGTAACTTCACGTACACTCGTACGTGCAGAGGAAGACGGTAAGAAGAAGCGAGTACTTGGTTAGAGTAAAAAGTAGAACTGTATTTATCATAGTTAATGTCTGTTAATAAACCACTGTTTATCCTCATCTAACTATGTCGAAATACAAATGTGCATATCAACTATCTGCTCACCACTCATTGCGTGCGTCTGTCGTGGCGCGTCTTCGTTGGTTGATATAATGGCCTATATCAACCAATTAGGAACTACTTGTAAGTGCTACAGAATATTTGTCCTTATGACAATATTCTGAGAATATAACTCTTATAGTTATATTCTATTAACAATTTCTTATAAATTGTTATGTAACGATTCACCCCGTTACACTTCTCCTTACCGTCTTCCTCTGCACGTACGAGTGTACGGGAAGTTACGAGGCACCGCCCTATTCTGTCATCAGAATAAGTAGCTTGTACTGTCACCAGTGCAAGTCTTAGGGTACCCCGTTACATACAGGGTATATCAGAAATTTGTCCGAGCAGTTTATAAATGTCGAGTCACCACCACTATGATGGAAATCAATGATACAACGTCGAAGTTGTTTTCCGCTCTTTGAGCGGTATACACATGTTAGCCAAAGTTGCAAAATACTGCATGTTGTGAATTACGATGAATTCACCAAAACACGTCAACTACAAAGCAGCATATGAACATGAGAATCCAGCTCATCAGTGCCAGCCAATACCCAAGTCAGCCATGTCATTTGCAGTGAACGTGTTCAAGGTATAAATTCCATTAAAATCAAGGGACCACACACATATACCTCAGCACTCCGTCTTCTGAGTGGTTTGTCACTGTCACGGATAAGGTTGTCATGGACCTCGCCCATATCAAGGGCTGTAATGAAGAAAATTGCGATAAATTCTGTGATCTTCTATCACAGTAAGTTGGAGGAGTGGCTACTCGGATTCTCTGCTTCACAAAAACGATCGTGGGATATAGGCTGTAACGGGGTAGCCCGTGACATGAAATTGACACCAAACGGTGTCAATTGTAATATCGTCTAGTGAGACAGAATTCTACCGAAATTATCCGGGATGGATAATATTGAATGAATATTATCCCCTCTTGGATAATATTTATTCGCTGCTATAAGATATGTCGAAATAAGACAAATCAACCATAGATTGCCACCAACCGCTGCGAGACGCGCGCAATGAGTGGTGAGCAGGTTGTCGTCATACGACGACTGTAACAGGGCACTCTCAAGCTTGTACTGATGACAGTACAAGCTACTTATTCTGATGACAGAATAAGGCGGTGCCTCGTAACTTCACGTACACTCGTACGTGCAGAGGAAGACGGTAAGAAGAAGCGAGTACTTGGTTAGAGCAAAAGTAGAACTGTATTTATCATAGTTAATGTCTGTTAATAAACCACTGTTTATCCTCATCTAACTATGTCGAAATACAAATGTGCATATCAACTATCTGCTCACCACTCATTGCGTGCGTCTGTCGTGGCGCGTCTTCGTTGGTTGATATAATGGCCTATATCAAACAATAAGGAACTACTCGTAAGTGCCGCAGAATATTTGTCCTTATGACAATATTCTGAGAATATAACTCTTATAGTTATATTCTATTAACAATTTCTTATAAATTGTTATGTAACGGTTCACCCCGTTACACCCCCCCCTTAACCATCAGTCACTTTAGTGACTGATTGACCAAATGGATACTCGTCCCAAATCATTTGGGACAGGGTTTGCACTTGTTGGTCCGAGTCCACTTTCCAACATTTCGTCGCATGGTTAACAAGCCCATGCGGTGCGCGAACAAGGCCGCCGAGAGCGCGTCTGCACGTCTCTGTGCAGACGCAGAAGCAGAAACTACAGCATCTGATGTATCATCGGTTGCTGAAGCGACCCAGCCTGTGTCACGTGGTGATGCAGGCGCTGGTCATGAAGACACCAATGTCTTCACAGAGTACGAGCTCGGTGTCTCGTACTCTCCTGATACGGATGACGGATCCGTATCGACGGCGATTGAATCTAAGCCGCCTGCCAAGCGTGGCATGGACGATGCTTTGCGTCGAAGCATCTTTGGTTCATCTGACGAATCAGATGAACCATCGCCGAAGCGAAGGCGCTTGAGATCGCAAGACTCGGGCGCTCACAGTGGTGTCGGTTCTCCTATTGGCACCACTTCGCAGCGAGGTACCATTACTTCTGTCGGCACGTTGCAAGAAGAGCGGGACCGCAGTGTATTGCGTCTCGCTCCGGAGAAGAAGGCATGGATGCCTCCAAAGTCGGTCATGGATCGCTTGTCGGCGACGACGAGTGATCGCTATCGAACACGATTGTTCGATTCGTCAAGGATCCATCACCTGACTCCAGTGCGAAAAACTATCGCGCTGAACATGAATTCTTCATCGATGCTTTCTTCAAGCATCGATGGTACAGTGGGAATCACAAACGTGATTGTCTTTCACTGCTTCAAGCGTGGAACGCTTACATCCATAACCTTGAGGATGTAGGTCGTGACGTTTGGAACGACAAACTTATCAAAGCTCGTGATATGTTTGAGAAGAGAACCCCGACAGGTGCACGCTACAAGCTGCATCGTCTGTCTAAGGAGAAAGGATTACCCTGTCTCTCTTGGGGAGACTCGTGCCCATGTTGTGTGAACAACTCTGCACGAGCACCTAAGGAGGCTTACCTCCTTACCAGCCCGTGGTGGCGCGTACGTGTCTCTACTGAGATGTACGAAGGGATTGACAACCTGACATCCCTTTACGACCGTGCCGGGAAGACTTTCTCCGGCGGTCCTTCTGCGGCACAGGATGTGCCGCGTCGTACTGCTCAACCAGACCCAGTACGTCGATCATCAGCTGGGAGCAGGGCTCCCAAGAATCCCAGGACGGGGGATAGCCGCGCCACCGGACGAGATAACTCGTCCGACGTCCGTTCACGTCGCGGTGGTTCAACAGCTGCTCAACTAGATAGCGCTGGCCACCGCGAGAGTCCTCTAATGGAAGTGGAGGAGGAGGAAAGACGCTCTCCACACGATCATGTGAATCGGCGTGTTCCCGAGAGCTTCTTTGATCGCGTAACGCAAGGGTTACGCAACGATCTCGAACATGAGCGGGACAGGCGTCTCCAAATGGCGGACACTGTCTCGAAGCATCGAGCTGAGTTTGACTTTGCTCAGCTTGAGAACGAGAGAGCTTTGACATCTCTGCGTGACGAGCTAAGGGTATCTTGTGGGATTGTTGATCGGTCTCGGGATGAGATAGCTGCTCTTCAGACCCTTGTTGATGCCCACCATCGGGAGCACAAGGCTCTCTGCGAGATGCTTGAGCGCAAGGGCGTTCTTCATCGGAAGAAACAGCGTACTGATGGTACGGCTTAAGCCGACCAACGTAAAACGTGGGATGCGTTCGCATCTTACATGGTAACTCGATCTTGTATGCATTGCCTAGGCGGTGCAATACACGAAATGGGCCGATGTACTTGGGTAGAAGTTTACTACTACCCAAGTTAGTCACTACATGCTTTGGTAGGTTAACCGTAGACAGTAGGACTAAGTCACCTTGATTAAATAAAAGAGTGTTTGCCCTTCCATTCTTGTCTGCGTTTTTCTTTTTGCTTATCCACCGCTTCGGCGATGGAGTCTTGCACAAAACGGACTACCGTTTCACGAGCCAGTATGAACTCATCTGATGACTCGTTAGCTTCAGTGCGCTGTGAGTGCACTGCAGCGACATCAACCTTTTCTTCAGTGAGGGCTCCCTCGCTCTCACTGGCATCATCTTCTTCGATATCGATGTTGTCGATATCAGCATCAAACGCAATGACCTCATCGTCAGAGCGTGATGAGCGTGGGCCAAATCGTTTATGCTCGCGCGAGTCTCTTTCCCCCTTAAAACCAGAGTTACTCTCTAGTAAGGTGGGTACACGCGGATGGCGCAAGCCATTCACGTAAAACGGTGTATGTGTCGTAAACGCATGCACCGAGTTGTTAATGGCAAACTCTACCATTGGCAAGAACTCACTCCAACTCTTAAAGGAGTGTAAGTATCCTCGAAGTATCTCTTCAAGGACACGATTGGCACGTTCCGTCTGACCATCTGACTCTGGATGATCAGATGTCGACATCTTCAAGCGCGTTCCGAGTGATTTGAACACGGAACACCAGAAATCAGCAGTGAAGCGTGGATCTCTGTCTGATACGAGTTCACGGGGCAACCCATGAAGTCGGAAGATGGTGTCAATAAAGACACAAGCACAGCCACTTGCCGTGATTGACCCTGGTACAGCCACAAGGTGTACCATTTTGCTGAATCTGTCAACAAATGCGAGGATACCCGCATTCCCACGTGCGTCTTTGGGTAGCCCGAAGACAATATCCATTGAGATGGATTTGCAGCACTCTGCCGGAACCGGTAGAGGCTGTAAAGGTGCACGCAGTGAAGGACTTGACTTCACGCGTTGACAGACTTCGCATGCGCGAACATACTTTCGCACAAACTGATACTGGCGGGGCCAGTAAAAGTCTCGACTCACCGTGAGATATGTTTTCTCCCGGCCACGATGTCCTCCTATAGGAGCATCGTGATACTCGAACATGATCCGCAGACGCAGATCAGTATCATGTGGGATGACAACACGTGGTATGTCACCAGAAACGGCTGTATAATACAGTAAACCGTTGCGAGTAGTGTATCGATCTGATGTAGATCGATACGCAGACGATAATCGTTTCAACGATTCTCGAGATGGCTGTGAGAGATGTGTCAACAACTTCACGATCTCACCATCTTGGGCGTATGCCCGCCTCACATCATCCTGCAACGTTGAAGATGGTATTGAGGACGTCATAACCGCAACAGTGGCTGTCTAACTGTTGGGTTTCACGACTGGTTCAAAGTCGGGACGACGTGAGAGTGCATCAGCGACGACATTAAGTCGTCCTGGTTTGTACTCGACCGTAAAGTTGTATTCTGCAAAGAATGACAACCACCTCGCCATTCGTTGTGAAAGGTGCGGGCTGTTTACTGCCGTGCGTAATGACGCATGGTCAGTGTAAACAATGAAGGGTCTATCTCCTAATAGATAGACTCTGAACTTCGCGAGTGCATACTTCATGGCAAGGAGTTCCTTGTCATGCACTGGATAGTTCCGCTCAGCTGGTTGCAGCTGACGCGACTGATAGCAGACGACGCGTTCAACGCCTTCAAGATCGTACTGCATTAATGCACAGCCGATTGCGAAATCACTGGCATCACAGACCACATGAAATGGCCTGTCCTGATCGGCTATTGCTAGGACTGGGGATTGTATCAAGCTCTGCTTGATACCCTCAAAGGAGCGTTGACATTCAGCGTTCCATAACCACCTCTCGTTCTTTTCAACAAACGAGAGAGGTGCACAGTCATCTCGGCGTAATTGCGTGAATACTTATGCAAATACGCCGCTAGCCCAAGGAATTTTCGAAGACCTTTGACATCGACCGGCACAGGCCAGTCGGTGATCGCCTTGATCTTTTCGGGATCAGGACGTACACCGGTCTTACCAACGATGCACCCAAGAAGTGGTATTTCGCTTGCTGCAAATATACACTTCTTGAGGTTAGCATACAATTGATGCTTTCGCATGATTGTAAGAACCTGTCGGACGTGGTACCTGTGAACCTCAACGTCCGACTTTCCATCCATAGCTCGACTATGGATGAATACGTCATCGAAATAACTCGGCGCGAATTCTCGTACTGGTCTCAACAGATGTGATACACATCTGTTGAACGTGGCAGGGGCATTACTAAGCCCTTGTGGCATTACTAGCCATTCCCAGAGCATGCCGCTAGGTGTGCTAACTGCGGTATAGGGTATATCCCGTTCTCGCATAAGGATTTGATAGAAGCCATCCATCAAATCCATGGACGAAAAGATGGTACTTTTGACATACCATCAATGATTACGTCCTTCCTCGGTATCGGCGTCTGAGCCGGTACCGTTGCAGCGTTCAATTTGTTGAACGCGTGCACTTTCCGCCACCCTCCTGTTGCTTTTCGCACGCAGAAAGTCGGAGAGCTATGTGGGGAAGTTGATTCCCTCACATGGCCGGCAGCCAAACGATCGGCAAAGAACTTGTCGATCGCTGTGACCTGTTCACGAGGCAGTGGCCACTGCTTCATGACACAATACTTCGAGCCTGGTTTAAGCTCGACCTCGTGTCAAATACCTTTATCCTTCGGTAATTCGCCCGGAACAGTTTCAGGGAATACATCCTTGAATTCAACCAAATCTTCATAGAGAGGATTTGTCTTGAGCGATTCCCACGATTGGGAGTCATATCGCTCAATTCGTGTCTTTTCATCGAGGACGCTCTCATCCATCGATGAACTACTGAGAACTCTCTCGTTCTCAGTAAACACTGTTGCTGACCTTATGTCGGCTACACACTCGTCGTCAGCGACGAGTACGCATATCTGCTTGACTTTGCCACTACGCAGATCACGCAAGAACCTTTTACGCTCGAGCGTTGGCAACTGAGTGATCTCCGAAGTCAACTTCGGAGGCGCAATCAGATCAAGTGTATAAGCGCCTACACTTGATCCATCATTGACTATGAAATTCAATGTATCTGTCATTTCCTGGGGACTTATTCCCTCAGGCCTCGAAGGACTTATTCCTTCGGCTTCCCGGGGACTTATTCCCTCGGGTTTCGGGGAACTTATTGCCGCCGTATTTGTAATATCAAGACTTACTACCTTTACTTCCTCTAGCTGGGGTTGCGCAACCACAGCGAGATCCTCTACGAAAGAATCTCCAGTCGATCTAGGATTATCGTTTCGCTTGACCTGAGCGATCGATTGTTTCTCTTCGAGATGTTCCCCGCTAGTGATACATCTTTGTCCCAGTCCACCCGACTTATTCGAGTGGTGGACCTTCGGCGCAGCCTGTGTTTCCTCACAGCCGCCGGAATCTTGCTCCGAAGTGTGACTGTTTGTTACACTAAGGTTTTGTGCAGTCGTGCTAACGACTGTACCAAGTGAGGCCATAGCACTCACTCGTAGTATATCCACACGCTTGTGGACCCTCTAAAACGTTCATCAGATGGCCATTTGATGAACAAGCGGCAGGCATCGTACTGTTCGATGTTGCCAGTTTACCCGTGGTTCGTACCTTCTGAGCCACGGTATTCCAAGGATGACATCAAATTTGTCATCCAAATCCAATACGATGAAGTCATCGTCATATTGGGTATCTCCTAGCGTATAGTGGATCTTCACTATACGCTTCATGACGGTTACGGATGCGCCTGTCGCAAGACGTACCGTCATCCTTGTAGGAGGTGTGTCACATTCACTGAACTTAAAGTGACCATCTTCTAGCGATTGGCGTTGCACAAAATTGTTGGACGCCCCACAATCGACTAGAGCTCGAAAGGACAACTTATTCGTCACTTCGAGTTTCAAGGTAATGAGTGAGATCTCATTACCTAGAGCAGCAACGCACAACGTTTGTGTGTTGGGAGCAACCTTCATCAAGAGGCCTACAAATTCTCTTGACGTTGCTGGACCAGTAGGGTGCTCCGCACCTACTGATCCTGTCCGTTTTTTACGGTCCATCCCGTTGTTGCGTCTTTGCACCAACTGCGGACCCTCGTCCCTGCCCCTTTCTCATGGGTGGACGGTCACTACGCCCAGTGTCGCGAGACACTGGACGAGGGGCACTACACTCGTAAGCGTAGTGTCCTGTCTTTTGACATCTGTTGCATCTCTGCAACTTCTTGTAGTATGTAGAGCGAGCCTTCTCGCTCTCAACATAACAGAGTTCCATCGGCTCTGTACCTCCGTTTTCATATCGTCTCAGTTGAAGATATGATGTCGAGCTGGCGCGAGCCTGTCTCAGACTGAAGTCTTCCTGCTCCGCAATGGAAATGGCTTGTTCTAGTGAATCTAGTTCAAGTCGGAACCGGTGAGTCTTGACGGGACCATCCGCAAGACCCTGCATGAACACCGAAACCAAAGTGTGTTCATCCACCGGATTGGAACTTATAAAACTCGTGAGATGTCGTATCTGTTGCGCGTAAGCGTGCACATCACGCTTACCCTGCTTGAGCTTCAAGAGTTCGGTTCGAGCTCTGAACTCAGCTCTAGGCGGTTCAAACGTTTGTCTGAGCCGCGACTTGAAGACATCAAACGATCCAAACGCATATGGGTCGTGCAACTTGAGCCCCAGTGCCCAAGTCTTGGCACGTCCTGCCAGATTTGACTGGGCAAAGGAAACTTGCATATCCCCATCGTCGATGCGACGCGCCCTTATGGCGTCATCCAATTCGACGAACCATCTCAGGAGGGAGTCCTCTTCGACTCCCCTATACTTGGAGATGTCAATCTTCAAAGTCTCGAGTCGACGCGAGTGCATCGACCCACCAGCAGCAGCCTGCTGCTGTCTCAACAGTTCAAACTGTTGAACACCCTGTTCTCTCAACAACTCTGCTTGTTGAGAACCTTGTTGGTGAAGCAAGGCTACTTTCTCGCGTTCGGCGTCAAGTTCATTTTGAATGAACTTGGCGATAGTAGCATGTTGGGCATCTCTATTGAGAGCCTCTAGCATGACGCTAACAGCATGGATGCCCATGGTCGAACCCATTCGTTCAACCGCATCCCATTCGACATCGCTCAAATGGGAGTAGCCGTCACGCGTAGCGTGAAAGCTTTGGTCATCTTCATCATCCAACATATTCATGTTGGATGTGAACGTGGTCCTTGGACGGACTACGAAGTGCTACCAGGTGTAACGGGGCACCCTGAAGCTTGTACTGTCACCAGTACAAGCTACTTATTCTGATGACAGAATAAGGCGGTGCCTCGTAACTTCACGTACACTCGTACGTGCAGAGGAAGACGGTAAGAAGAAGCGAGTACTTAGTTTAAGTAAAAGTAGAACTGTATTTATCATAGTTAATGTCTGTTAATAAACCACTATGTATCCTCATCTAACTATGTCTGAAATACAAATGTGTAAATCAGTTATCTGCTCACCACTCATTGCGTGCGTCTGTCGTGGCGCGTCTTCGTTGGTTGATATAATGGCCTATATCAACCAATTAGGAACTACTCGTAAGTGCTACAGAATATTTGTCCTTATGACGATATTCTGAGAATATAACTCTTATAGTTATATTCTATTAACAATTTCTTATAAATTGTTATGTAACGATTCACCCAGTTACATCACCCCCCCTTAACCATCAGTCACTTTAGTGACCGCTTGACCAAATGGATACTCGTCCCAAATCACTTGGGAAAGGGTTTGCACTTGTTGGTCCGAGTCCACTTCCCAACATTTCGTCGCATGGTTAACAAGCCCATGCGGTGCGCGAGCAAGGCCGCCGAGAGCGCGTCCGCACGTCTCTGTGCGGACGCCGAAGCAGAAACTACAGCATCTGATGTATCATCGCTTGCTGAAGCGACCCAGCCTGTGTCACGTGGTGATGCAGGCGCTGGTCATGAAGACACCAATGTCTTCACAGAGTACGAGCTCGGTGTCTCGTACTCTCCTGATACGGATGACGGATCCGTATCGACGGCGATTGAATCTAAGCCGCCTGCCAAGCGT